AACAGTCTTTTAGAAACCAGACCGGCAGGTAATGATCAACTTTGGGTTGGTCTTTTGAGTGCGTGGCCAGGTTATCGAGTGGCTTTTCGTAAAAGCTGACTCTCTTTTAAATGAGTATAGTCTCTTAACTTTTGGCTCCTCGTTTCCCTGACATTATTAATGAACTCTCTGATCCCTCCTTTTTTTGACTGGAGTGCACTGCAAATTTTTAAGACATCTTTGAAGGTTTCCTCCAACTTTTGTTTTCTTTTTAAGAACAGCCACCCCTCCTGCTAAACTCTCTCAATTGTTATGATTTTTATCGATCCATTGGTTTTCCTTCTCACCAGTCATTGATACCATTTGCTCGTTGACTTTGTTAAAAAACTACTAGTAATATTTTTGTTTGCATCAAATGATTACATTTTTGTGTGTTTTCTTTTTCAACTTGTAAGTGAGAACTATGTCTATCTTCAAGTGGGATTTCAGTATTTGTCTTATGAGAAACGAGAAAATGTCCCTAGCCACACGGATGAGAGCCTTTTTGGTAAGTCAACAATAATGAAGATCGGCTCCATTTAAAATCAAAAACGTTTTTTTCGAACAATCCTGCTAAGAAAAAAAGAAAAAAGAAACGGAAAGCAAAAATCCACTGACTTTAGCGGCGTTTTCCAAATTTTCTCGGTGATTGGATCTATGCCAGAGTAACAGCTGGCTCTACCAAAACAAATTCGTCGCTGTGTTTTCACCGCCCCCCCGGTTAACTCAAATGGTTAGAGCGCCGGATTGTGTTGGGCGGGAGGTCGAGGGTTCGAGCCACGGTCGGACCAATAATCATCGTCTTAAAATAACTGAGGAGAATTTGCTACCTTTCTATAATATCAAGAAAAGGATAGATATTCTAGTCTTCTCGGATAGGGACGAATAAATGGAGGTCCCGTCTCGTGCAGGGTTGGGGTAGGAGACGTTAATTTCCCATACACGAGATTACTGTGTGATAGGTGTCCTCCCCTGGGGTGGAATGGTGGGTTTTTATTGTTGTGAAGGCCGTAAGTTAGATAATTCTTTGGGTTAATTACGTCACCTTCGTTAAATAAAGAATATTGTATTGTATTGTATTGAAATCACCCTCCCTCTCTTTCTCCCCGCCCCCTCCCCACCACTTAAAAGGATCTAACCCTAACCTTCAGCTTCGCACTGTGTGGATTTTTTCTTAAGAAAAAGCAAAACAAATAAACACAAAGAAAAAAGGGGAAAACATTCAAGAAAAAGACCAATCCACTATTGGCCTGTCGAGATAAATTAATACTTCTTCTCATCTGACATTACCCTTAAAGAAACAAGAACGTATATCATGAAAGTAATTTTTTTTTAGGTGAGGCTGGAGGCAGCATGGGTTTGTTCCTTGGGTGCAGTGTTCTGACCATCTGTGAGTTCCTCGACTTTCTTTGGGAACTCCTGCTATCCAAGATAAGGCCACGTCCTGTGGCAGTAAACGCGGCGCCTGCATAACCAGCGCAATTGGTTGTCCCTCAACAGTTGTGATGTCAGTTTATGCAAATTAACATAACTGAAGATAAGTGTGGCGTATGGGTGAACAGCTAATGGGAAAGGAGAGATCACAGAAGAGTGTTTCATTTCTTTTCTTTTTGTACAGTATAGTATTAACCATGTATAGTTGACTTGCCTGAGAGCTGATTTCCAGTATATCACTGGGAAAATCCTCCCCCNACGGTTGTATGCTTTCAGTGCTGACCGCACAATCTCCGTTCTGAACTTCAGGTTATAGCCAGAGTACTGTAGGCGCAACATCATGTGGTTCACGAGGCCGACAACAACTTCCCAAGGAAGCTCCCTGCTGCAGTTGCGTAATATCCTAAAGACCTCTTGAGTAAGTAATGTGCAGGCATTCATGTGAGAAATATGACGGTAACATTCCAGGGTTCACAATGAACGTCACGGGAGTGTTTCAGGGTGACGCTATGCTGAGACAGATCTCAGAGTCAGTCCAGATCAATAATGTTCAACAAGATCAACTGATAAACACGAAGAGCGAGTGGAATTATTTCAGGATCCCTAGTGCTGTTGTCACACAATCGTGAATGAGGCTACGAATATTTCATCATGTGACTATTGTACAGTGAAACTGAGTCCTAGTCTGTTGTAATTAATTTAATTGTCTATCTATTGTTATCATTGTTATTTGTGTTGTTAGTGTAATTATTGTGGAATATTGATTTTATTGTTATTGGTGTTTTTTATTTTTTAATTTTATTTTATTATTTTTTTTGTCATTTTTTAAGTTTGTTTTTCTTTGTTTGTCTACTTTGGTGTTGTTGTTTTATCAGTTTTACTTTAGCGTCGTTGTTGTGCAACTAGATACCAGGTTATTGCTCGTGCAACGTTATATGCTCGTGCAACGTTATATGACGTGGTCTGGATATTTGAAATTTCTAACGAAACAACGAGACGAAACGAAACATCGCATACAACTGAAGAGGTCTGTGGACGAAACTAGTTTTGTAGTAGGCGTGTTTTAAAGTGCGTTGAAAGTTGATTTTAATGAGGCTTTGTTTTCAATATGATCTGCATAATCAGCACTATATAAATATAATTGTGTTGTTAATAAACGGGAAAAAAACGCGCATATGGATACGTGAGTGGAAGACGAGGCGGAGCCAACTGTGTCACTGACGGTTCTTACCAAAATTTGACGTCATCTGTGATCTGTTAGAGAGATTTAACACCGCTTTTATGTGAAACGGGAAAGGCAGGGGTGACCACTTGACCTTGTTTTCGCGCCATTTTCTCACGTTTGCCGGTTGCGCTTTCTGTTTCTACGTGAAAGTAACCTGTTTCGCGTTTGCCGTGTACATTAGATTTAGCTTAACTTTTTCTCTTACAGCGTAGAAGCTATTGCCGGATGAAGGGCACCAAAACTGTTCCTTGTAAGTCATCCAAGGGTTCCTTCAAATACACCATGACGTGAGCTTATGCGAAGCTAAAACAGCAAGGTTCACGCTATTTGACATAAAAAGTGAAAGGACAAGCCGACGTTTGCGGTTTCACGTAAACGCGGTGCTAAATCTCTCTATTACTTTACAGAGCCACGGCAACATGGAATCTACTAAAATGTTGTCAATGGTGACGTCATCTATGAGTCTGGCGGTCCTCCAATAGATCAGAAGTATGAACCTATCAAAACGCGTGTATAGAATCACTGCACTCACTTGTTAGAAATATTATCAGCACTCGAGGATAAACTATGTCACTTTGCGGCTGTATTACATGTTCTATTTAGCAGAGTCCTTTGCTAACTTTGTTATCCTTTGTTAAGTCACTTGAAATTCTGCACCTTGCATAGCAGAACTGAGTTTGATGAGAAATCTTTATTTACTTGTTTATTTAGAGGTACCATTCCTTTAAGTTTACGTCATGAAAACACGTATCTTGTATTTCAGCCCTGCGCATGCGTTGCTGCAGGAGCACGCTGACATGTTGACTTTCAACATCCAATAAACTTGTCACTACTGGTATGCTTGTGAATCAGTGTATATGTTTCACAAACTGTTTAATCAGGCCCAAGCTTAAGATAAGTGCTCCATCGTTTTGTTTGTTTTTTGCGTCGTGTTTTATACATATTTCATGG